TTCCAATTTTGAGTCTGGGCTGTTAAAGTGCTTATATTTTCACCAGTATGAAATAATGTGGATGCTTTGATGTCAGTTCCTGCAGAGAAAGGGAAGTCACTCCTGGGCAGATTGGGTCTTCCAGAATCTAATTCTAGCATTCTAGAATTGTGTTTGAAGCTGAAGATGTTTGGATAGAAGCTGGCTGGAGAGGTACGAGGAGAGGAACGGGCTCCTGCTTGGAAGGAAAAGGTACTGTGAGATTCTCGGAGCTTTGCAGAGCTTTCCGGTGGCCAGGAGCTCCGAATGTCGTTGGGAGAGACCCAGGGGGCGTGTCTGCAGTGGCTTGCAGCAGATGGAGGCCAGTCCTGTCCTGAGGCCTGTCGCTATAAGAGCTGACGATTCAGCTCTGCTTTCTGCTCTGCGTTCATGGTTGTCTTTATGATTTCTCTCACTGCACTTGGGAGTTTACAAGAATGGTTTTCAGGTTTTTTCTGGCGTCCTTAAAAGGTAGCCAGGACTTTGAAGTTCAGAGCTGTGAAGGTTGTTTTACGATCTGCTTGGATTCCTTATGAGATAGGGGTGCATGCATGCGTGTGTGTGTGTGTGTGTGTGTGTGTGTGTGTAGTTTACAGTAGATGAATTATAACTTTATTTTGTTTTGTGAAACAACAACATTTTGTTCACTTTAAAGTCGTGCAGAAGTTAGCTGTCAGCAATATAATCACGATGATACAGTTTTCCCTTTGTGTCTCCTGTAAGAGCCGCCCTGCCCAGCGCACGCATGTCTTTCCCATCAACAGACTCTCACAGTCCCCTGTCTCAGACCCACTTTTATCCAGTAGCCTGTGCGTTCCCTTTCCTCTTTCTCTGGAGGCTGAGTTGCTGTCTCTCTGTAGTCAGGGGGTTTTGTGCCTCACTTGCCTCATAGGTGACGGGGTGAAAGCTGACCACAGGGACCACTTCCCTGGGCCTCTGCTGCCCCCTGTGGTTTCTTCAGTGTGACACTTCCTGGAATCCCACACGTCTGAAAGTTCTCTGATGATCTAGTTAGCTGACTAGATTTCTCCACTGATGTTTTTATTTTTGTAAGTTCTCTGCTTTGATGAGATTCATCAGCTCCTGGTGAGCCTGTTCCCGATGCTCCCTTCCCTATAGCTTTCCAGTCTGCAGCACAACAAACTCACTTCCCTTGGCAGGGAGTGGGGGGTGAGGGGGACAGGAGGAACTGTGGGTGCTTGTTAGAAGGGATGGGGCACACTGCAGCCCCCCTTTCCGTCTTGCCCTTGCTCTCCTGCCGTGTTCTGTGTCAGTACTGTGTGTACAAGGTAAAGACAGAGGGGAACAGTAGCAGAAGTAGACCAGAGTCCTGCCCTGCCCCCACCCCCGCCCCGGACGGCGGAGTATGGAGACAATTCCAACTGGCGTTAGTGTCCCTAAGAAACCTGGGCTGACTCCGTCTGCACCCCTGCCCTGGGTCTGCTTCTTGGACCGCATTGCTCTTTGTTTTTTTCGTAGGCTAGTGCTGCAGCTGCAGTAGATGAGGGTCTAGACAGCACTGGGCCACTGGGCTCAGGCAGAGGGTGTGAGCACACTCTGGGCGCAAGGTGATGGGAAACCTCTGTGGCTCAAGCTCTCTGCTTAGCAGATGAGACGTCCTTCATGAAGCCCCAGGAAGCACACATTTCCTCTCCACGATCTTGCCATATTTTGCCAGCTACATGGGTGTGAAGCCCACAGCTGTCTCTGCATTTCAGCCAACCAGAAGGAGTGTTTCTTGTTCTTTTTGACATAGACCGGAAACTCCTGACTTTCCCTGTGTGTGCTGCAGAAATTCTTTCTCAAACGAAAGAACTAATGACCCACGTCCCTCAGAACAGATGGGTGTCTTTGGGCTCATATTCTCTGAGGTGCTGTCTGGGGGTGCTTGGCTAGAACCCCTGGCTGTGGGAGCATGGGGGAATGAAGCAGAGTGAGACTGGAAGAAGCAGAAAACCAGCTACACCCTACAGAGGCACACTCCCGTGACCTGTCTCTCAAAACCCCACAGCACAGTGCCAAGTTTCCAGAACTCCCCAAAAGAGTGCCACCAACTGTGGGCCAAGTGTATGCCTCCCGCACCTGTGGGAACATTGTCTGTTCAGATCAGGACATGTGCATTCACAGAGTAGTGGGCATCACACTGCCTTGCCCTAGAGACTCTAGCCTGTACTCTTGCATTTACTGGAATGCTCCCAACCCTTGCCAGAAGGCTTTCCTCTTCCGACCACTTGGAGGAACCACCTGCCGAGGCCAGCCTATCCTAACAGACCCTAGTGGGGACTCTTCTAGAGGGGGCTTGCTGGAGTAACCTGTTCAGAGGCCTGTGCAGAGATGGGTGGATGATGGCTGGACCACTCTGAGCTCTAATTCCCTTCAGGGTGACGGAGGATTGGCTGTTTCTCCCCGTATGACTGAGGCATAGAGTAGGTGACAATGGAAGGAGCTGGAGGTGTCCAGCGAGTGCCATTGCCTGCTGTCTCTGCTCTAGATGAGGGCCACTTCTGTTTGTCCTCCATGCGGAAAGCCCCTAAACCCCAAACTAGAGCTTGAAGCAGTTTTCTTCTGGGGATGGTATCATGTTCGAAGCCAGGCAGGCTTCCATGAACTCCCGACAGCGCTGTCCATTTTCATGAGTAGCTGGACAGATGTTCCCTAACAACTAGCCTATTGGCAAATCTAGGAGAACCTGGAGCTACCCTCCCCGCTTGTCCCTCGTACTGCGCAGGTATGCCTTGGTCGGTAGTGATGCAAGAGGCTCAACTGACGCGGGGACAGTGTGAGAAGACCCATGCACCCTGACACTCCTGTTTTATAAAATGCAAGATTTGAGTTTAGTGGGATAAGGGGAACCTGCACATGTCTTGCCTGTTCTCACTCATGCTTGACACCGTTGCTTGGTGGCAAGAACTATCTCTATGATAAGACACTTTGCAATGGCTGGTGACTTCAAAACGATCTCCCTCAAGACTTGCTGTGAAGTGCTTTTGTTACACCCAAAGTCTAGATCCCCAGAACATCACCACGTATCCGATGCCAAAGCAAAGAGTTTTTATTGCAGGTATCTCGGGGCCCCTCCATCTGTCTGAGTGACAGCAGCAATGACAACAGGAACAGTGCAGGAGAGACCCTAGCCATGGAAAGAGGGGATTTATATAGGGGAAGAGATTTGAGGACTTCTAAGTCTCCAAACTTGTGATTGGCTGCCCCCTAGTGGGGTGAAGAGATTCCAGACTTCCAGGTTTGGGATTGGCTGCCCCCTATGATGTAAGGGGGTTTCCAGGCCTGAGGGGAATTTCCAACTGCCAGTAACTGCCTCTAGGGACTCAGTGATTGGTCTGTTTTCCCTGTTCAGGGATTGGCTGGTTTTGTGTTGGGGCAGAGGTGGTTCTGATTCTGGGGTCTTTCTTTGGTTCTTTACTTTTTTGACTCAATTTTGGGACCAGGGTGAATAATATCTTTGGTATAGTCTGAATTTAGGGGCTTAGTGTGTTCTTTTGGTCCTGGTTTCAGGCTCCAGGTTTGGGGACAAAGTATCTCTTAACACGGGCTCTGGTGCCATTTTCAGAGTGAGAGTTTCTCTCCCTGGCTCTGAACCAGAGTCAGGTTGCTCAGACTGAATCAGTGTGGGCCTGTGCCTCTCGCTTTCTTGATGTCTGGGTGTCAAGTCACCTGCTGAAGAAGGGGTGCTCAGAGCTTTTCCGTGCATCCCCTCACCACCTCCAAGGTCAACCCTCCTGACCCTGCAGACTTCACTTCCTTTTCTTAATACAAGTGTTTGGTTCATCCCTTCTCCAGGGGATGGTGACCCTGGGAGGCCTATGACATTCATAGGGAGGTCCAGCTCACTGTCTCCGCCCCTTCCCATGCAGTAGAAGGCACAGTGATGGGTGTGCTTTAGTCTTTAAAGCAGTGCAGGAAAGGTCAGCCTGTTGCTTCTTGACGGAGGAGCAAGCAATGAGAACCAGGCACTACAGGAACCACTTTGCTGCCCCTTTCCCCCTCCTGTGAAGTGTTGATGTTAATGTCGTCTGCATTAGAGACCCAGGCTTAAAAGGCTGAGTGATTCACCTGCCGCGAGTCACCAAGTAAGTGGCCAGGTGAGGTTTAAATACAGCCACAGAGCCCAGGCACTTAGCATCTCTCACCCTGTGTGGGATGTGAGGGAGAGCTTGCCTCATGGGAGGTGGACTAGAGAGAAGAGGGGGATGCAAGGGACACAAGGATGCCCGTGACACATCTGTAACCCAATAAACACTCAGGGACCTGCAGCATTTTACTTAAACCATAACAAAGGGTTCGTTTGAATTACACTTCCGTATCATAGTCCATCACTGAGGGAAGTCAGGGCAGGAACCTGGGAGCAAGAACTGAAGCAGAGGCCTTGGAGGGTGCTGCCCACTGGCTTGCTCCTCCTGCCTTGTTCAGTTAACCTTTTACATATGATCCAGGCCCACCTGCCTGCCCACGGTTGACACCTCCCACAGTGGGCTGAGTCTTCCCACATCATTAAGAACAGGCCCCCAGACATGGCCACAGGCCAGTCTGATAGACGTCATTCCTCAGCCGGCTTTCCGCTTCCTACATGACTCTAGCTTGTCAAGTAGACAAAAAACAAACAAAAAAACTATTACAATAGCATACAGTAGGCTTGGCTGTGAGCTGAGGTGCTTCAGGCCACATTCAGGGTGTAGCATAGTGCTAAGTGTTGGCTGTGTGTTTAGAACCCAGGCTGCTGTGAAGCCGCGCAGCACTGCATGGATGAGCACTTACAAAAGCCTCTCCATTTGTTACCCTTTTGACTTTGAGTTTTTGGTCATGTTCAGAAACCTTTCACTGTCAAAAGTTTTTGATGCTGCATTCAGTTGGTGTGTGACATTATGACTCACAGTGCAGGAAGCATTGACTTGGGCGTCAGTGGGGATCAGGGAGGTGCAGGCCAGGAGCTTCATTCATCTGGAACTATCTCCTTTGCTTCCCAGGTACCCAGATAAGCTGCTTCTCCCCAAGCTCTTTCTCCTGGCGACAGGCTTCCTTTGTGGATTCCTACTGTTGGGCGGCTGTACAGCAGAAGAGTTCCCTGCAGAGCGAGTCTGGAAACCTCCCACTGTGGCTGCACAAGGTAAGGAGATACAGTCACACCTGCTGTGCTTGCTTTCCAGATATAGACATGGAGGCCTGGAAGGGCTGTGCCCCCCAAGGCCATGCACACTGGAGAAGCCACAGCAGTGACGACATCAGATAGACGCTCTCTGAATTTCAGGTTTTCAGGCATCTTGTACATCTTTGTTTCTTTTGTGTCCTTAATTCCCCTGCAGAAAGTCTGGCCCATGGTGGGCCCTCACTACCTTTTGAACATCCAAATAAGCAGAGCCAGGGTTTGAACATTGGCCAGAGCCTTGTTTGTAACAAAAGTAAAGCCTAACACATAGTTGAGTTGCTTCTGGCCACTGTGTTGCTGAAGCACCTAGAAGCCTGGTCACGAATCCCGGGTACACAACTCTTGATGGGTTTCTGGTGGGACATGTGTTATGGTAAAAATAAAATGCTGTAGGTCCCCGAGTGGTGGCAGTGGGAAGCAGGCACGAGACCATGGCGGGCCACGAAGGCAGCCGTCCCAGGTAGGGAGCCTTCATGGGCCAGTGGGTCCTAGGCAGGGAGCCGCATGGTGGGTGAGAGTCCTTGGAGGGGCAGCCATGGAGGGTGGGATACAGAGACCTGATAGGCACCATCTGTGTGGTGGGGTAAGAGGCCGAGAGCAGCAAGTCCCAAGCAGGGAGCCACATGGTGAGTGAAAGACAGAGATGGAGCAGCCAGTCCCACGAGGAGCCGTAGCCGCACAGGGTGAGGTTGGGTATTTATTTAGTGGGTTATGGAAGGGGAAGGGGAGAAGGGGAAGAGCAGAGAGAGGCAGAGAGGCAGAGAGAGAGAGAGAGAGAGAGAGAGAGAGAGAGAGAGAG